CGGTGCCCTCAGCATCGCCACGGCGGCCCGGGCCTTGCCAGGGCGGCCTGCCCCGGCCCACACGCAGGTGTCGCCAAGGCCGGGCACCGTCCGCGCCCGGCCCGTCTCCAGCGGAGCGTGCGGCGGAGGGCAGGGATGCGTGGTGGCACACGCAGGGCTGAGGGAAGCCGTCGTCGTGGGTTACGCTCCCAGGCGCTCGCTCGCTCGCACGCGTCGGTGGCGGCGTGGCCGTGGCTGCAGATGCGGTGGTGCGTGCGCTCCCATCAGCGGGCGAGTGCGAAACCACAGGGTGGTGCCTGTCCCTCGGCCCGGGCCCAGCCACGCTTCTCCTGCTACCTCCAGCTGGTTGGGACAGTTTGTGGGTTACTTTAAAAAAAAAAAAAGTATTTTTGCCTGGGGACTCGAATCTTTTTTTTTTTTCCCCTCCGCTTGACTGACTTTCTCACACTCCTATTCCCATAGTCTGCCAGCTAAGCCTGAGTCATCCTGCCAAGAACTAGACCTGGCCTATTCAAAAATGTGCTCACTCGCTCTTTCTTTCTCTCTGCCTCTCTTTCTTTTCTTTCTTTCTTTTTTTTTTTGAGTATACACAGTAATGTTTTTCCACCTCCTCCAGTACCTGATCTGCACCTGTACAGGGCCAATCCCACACGTATCACCTGATCTTGCCTTTTCAGAGACCGTGAGAAAAATAAAGTTCAAGAAAGAAGAGACATGTTTGCCGATCTCACCGGTGCAAAGCCCTCGTCTCTGCAGAGGCTTGCCTGCTGAGCCTTCAGAGTTTAAAAAAAGGAAAATAAAGAAAAGGGAGAGTGTCGTGTTTAAAACTGCAGAAAAGTACGAATCCAAGCTTTCTTTCAGCTCCTTGATGGAGCCACAAGCCTTTTGATTTAAAAACAAAGAGCAGCCTTCAGCATGTAAGATTTAACTTCAGATGAGCAATATTTGACGTAAGCTTCAATTAGCTAGACATTTGGACAAACTCGAGCGAGAAAAAGATCGAGACTGCACTGGGAAGCCACTACTGAAAAGCCTTTTCACGGTCACCCTTATGGGGAAATCAGAGACAACTGATTAGCATGAAAATTGCAATATATTTCTGGAGAGCCTAAAAAGTTCTTCAGTGGACCAAGATTTTTTCTAGTGCTGACATTTGCTTATATTTGGGGGGGTGGGGTGGGTGGGGAGGGAAGGAAAGTTATCACAATTACTGAGCTGGCGTCCTCCCTCCTGCAGGGATTTGCAAAGGGCTCAGGAAATGCGGAGCGGGGCAGCCCCGTCCCTCCCGCTCGGGAGTGAGAACAGGCTGCAATTATGTCCATGTTTATGGTAGCCGAGGAGCTGCTTAACCGCCTCTAATTGCCGGCAACAGGTCGGTGTCTCTGGGGGACCAGAGTGGGGCAGGCAGCGAGAACAGGCTGTCGTTAGGGGTTGCCAGCACTTGCCCACACCGGGGACCTGGGAAGTGCCCGGCATCAGCTCCCCTTGCCCACGCTCCCACCCTGCCGCAGCCCAGCCCCTGCCCGCTGCAGAGCCCACGGGGAGGGTTTTGCTTCTGGGGTGTGCGAGGAGCCGGGCTGTGGGGCGCTGGGCCTCCAAAAGCATCTGCTTCAGTGGAGGCTTCTTGGATCCACGAGCCGAGCACTGCACTGGGCAGTGGGGAGGCAGTGACACTGGTGTCCCCGCTCCTCATCTCCTCCTTTGCCAGCCTCCTGCTGTGAAATGCCTTACACGTGCGAGGGTTGTGATCCCCGAGTGGAAGCGCATATACGTGTGAATTCCCCGGGGATCAGGAGAGGGAGGGGAGGATTTGCATGGAAGGATGTCTCTGGAAATGAAGTGGCCGAGGCCAAGTTTAGGCTGGAAGGAGGTGGTGAAGGGGTTTGTAACCGTTGGGCGGACCTGGAACAGATCCTCTGGGCTTCTCCAACCCTGCCTTTGCTTGTGAAAGAGCCGTCAAGGGGGTGATAAAGCCCCGAGATAAGGGGCTGCCCCAGGGACTGGGGTTTCCCTTGTCCCGCAGTCCTCCAGCAGTTTTTTTCCTTGCTCGGGCAGTCATCTTGGGTTACGAATTGGGAATTGTCCAAAACAGATTTGGGAAGAACCTTTAGACAGTGCATTAGGGCATTATTGACTGGCAGAATATCTTGGAGGAAAAAGGTATTGGCAAGAAAATTTAGACTAGTCCTCGGCACGGGCCCAGGGGTTGGAAGGTGGAATAAAATGGGATGCTGCTGCTAGTGCGGCATGCAGGGGGTGAGGAGGTGGCACGGCTGGCTGTGCCTGCTCTCCGGTCCTTTAGGAAGCAGCCAAGATGAGCAAAATGTGCTTCTAGAGATCCAAGAGCCTTAATAGCCAAAGCTTGCAGGATCCTAGGAAATACAGAAAATAGAAACCAAGTTGCTTGTAAGAGCTGGGGTACAATCTGGAGCCCAGGAATGGCACACCAAGCCTTTCCTCTTTGGGTCACGGACTGAAAACCTAGCCTGGCTGCAGCTCAAAGTTGTCACCACCCTGAAGGCTGGAAAACAAGTGCTATGTCTCAGGGACATGTCCCTGGCTCAGATGTCTCCTCTGGGCAGCCCCGCACACATGCCTCCACTTGTGGTTCCCGTCCCAGAAGCTGTTGTGCAATCCATACCCAACCAGCTCCCCAGGGAGGTGTGATCTCAGAAGCTTTGGGCACAGGTTTCAGGGTTTATTTCCTGTCCATAAACATTTGCCAGATCTTTGGGACAAGGTCACTTTCAAACTGACTTCCTGACAGAGCTCCCTAGATGAAGCAAAGCTTTCATGGACGTTGCTCCCCTACATACCAGGTCCTCGCAGGAGCTGGGCAGCTTTCGTGCAACAGTGTCAATTCCTGGCCTTCCCGATGGCAGGAGCAGCTCGCTGGGTAGGACGGTAGTCCTGTTTTATGGCAGAACCTGTCTTCTCCTTTCCACTGGGGACCCATTTCCCAAGGGCCTGCTGAGACCCAGAATCCCAGCACTGGTAGACGAGCCTTGGGGGGGGGGTCTTATGTGGCAGCTGGCCTACCGGTGAGCATGTGCCTTGCAGGAGCTGGGCTCTTTCAGCTGTTCCCTGGCTGCCCCTGCGGAGGAGAGGCTGAAGTGTTTATTCGTTTTATTCCTCGCTGTGTGAGTCAGGCTGGGTGTGGGAGAGCTCCAGCCATTCTGTGGTGACATCTCCTGCGTTGAGGGGGCATCTGTGGGCTCCAAGAACTGGTATCCTTCCTTCTATTGCCCACACGGCCAGGCGGGCATCCCTGGGAATGGTGCAGCAGCTGAGGCTTTGCTGGAGTAGCAAAGTATCACTCTGAGCAACTCCAGCATTGCTAAGGACAGGCATCGAAGAACCATTTTCATCTCCCCATCCCATCCCAGCAAAGGCTGGAGCACAGCTCTGCACCGAGGAGGGCTCTGGGACAAGAGCCAGGGTACCTGGATCTCTTGCTAAGCTGATTCCTCTTGGCAGGCTCCTATCCTGCTGAACCAAGAAAACGCTGCCGGGGAGCTGTCGGGGAGGGCATTTTGGCAGCTGTGAAATGCCACCCATGTGGATGGGAATTCCCTTCCTGCCCTGATACCCACGGCATTACTTCAGAGATTGCTGATCGGCCTGGAGCAGCTGCATGTGCTAATGGACACGAGATGGTGCAGCCCCAGCTTTCCCCTTTGCGCCCTTGCAGAGCCCCAGGTCCAGCCTGGTCCTCTGCTGGCGGTGAGGGCTGGGTGCTGGCAGGCGCGGCAGCTGGGAACGAGCACTGGGAACATCCCCAAATTGTTTGCAGGGCTTGGACCTGTATCTGTCACTGCCATTGCCAGCCAGAGGCTGGGAGCTGCCTTATAGCCTTGTCTTAGCAATGCTCTTTCCATGTGACATGACCAGAGTTCACCAGACCACAAATTTGCAATCTGCTGGCCGTGGCAGGGCAGTCCTGCTCCAGCACAACAGCCAGTGTCTTTGGCAAGACACAGAAGCTCCAAGCAGAGGGACATACAGCTGAGCCTGCATCCCTCTGAGAACCAGAAATAAATGCGCAGTCACTGCTGTGCTCCAGAGAGAAGGAACGTCTCTCGGCTGTCATCCTCTCCCTCTGTGGTGGGAGGTGTTGGCAGTTAGAGCCGAGTTATTTATTTATTAAGATCCCACTTGCTGCCTGAAGCTGCTGTCTCTGTGCTGGAGC